CATTTTTTATTAAATACGTTTGACTTCTGACAATATGAAAATCTCCCTTAAACTTAAGTCCATACAAGTGATGGAGAGGTTACAGAGGAGAACTAAAAAAAAAGGTTGTCGCGCCTAAATCACGTTCCATGAACGGCAGAGACAGCCCCTTGGGTTATTTATATAAAAAATGTTTTTATACGTTATTTTTTACAGTCATATACCTTTCCATTACATCCGCAGCTTTTTATACCTGAAATAAATGCTTTGGGGGCTTAGGTAAAACTCCACCTTGAAAACCCGGCGTTTAATCGAGAAATACGAAATATATGATTTTAAATAGAGATCGTTTTAAAACGACATGTTGTGTAAGTTAAAGTACAGATTAATATTATTATTATACCACAGACTAATATTACAGATTAACGACTACCGTCCAAAAAATATATATATTTCACTCACGGAAAAGGATATCGATCCTCTTTTAAGTCGTTGTCGTGTTTCAGCATGTAGTATTCCCTCTTTAATGTTGCCACATCTGGGTCGCTTGACTCCGCAGCAGTCACTTGAGCAGAATTTTCATCCATCCATTCTACGTTAAAATATGATTTTTCGTTGCTGTTATTTCTCCAGTTTCCCACGTCGTCGCACTTGACGTCTTGTGTTGATGGAAGAGCTTCAAGATCTACTACTGTGTGAAATAAGGCGTATTGCGGTGCTGAAATCATACGATACGGACCCGTATTCCTCGAGAATACGGACATACCCGGACGTACCGTGTTCCAAGACACGCAACGTGTCCACCGAGTGTCAGGAACTGTATTCGTTCCGATTCGGACTTAACCCGTGGCATGGAAAATCCGATGTCAGGATACCTCATTGAAACGCGGCGTGTAGAGACCCGGAAATTTCCTTATACTTTCAGATTTGCCGCAAATAATGGCGTACTGTATACGAGCGCGCGGTCAGTCAAATTGCGTCTTTCTTTTCGTGTCTTTCTAAAAATTGTCTTTTCCACTATGAGAACAGTTTCACTAGGTATTCTTGTCCCGAAATTCCACGGTACTAGACGAATCGATCTGTATTCTGGAACTCGATTTTCCACGATACTACGAGAATCGCGTAGTATTCAAGAACCCGAAATTCCACGGTACTAGACGAATCGGTCTGTATTCTAGATTTTGATATTCCACGGTACGAGAAACTTCACTCAGAATTCTTGATCCACACTACATACTGTCAGGTTTTCTTGGAAAAGCAACGAATTCTCCCGATAATTTTGCACCCTCTTACTAGTGTATTCTTTCACAGAAGTACCTTGTGCCTTGATTACCTTGGATTCCCCTTCCCTACCAACGATTTTTAAACACATATTTCACAACTAAGAAAAACTTTATTGGACAACAAAATTGTCAAATATTGCAAGACAAAATGCCTTTTTACAAACTTTGTTTGAGATAATTCTTGTACCCTTGCAATAACATTCTTAAACGTTCTTAACCACTAATAAGTTACACATCATTCCAAAAAGTTACAAGATAAGGATATTTTGCTCAGAACCTTTACTCTAAAACAAAAAATTATTTTAATATGTAATAAATAATCCTCAAAATGGCCAATTTACAGAATCTATTTCGTCATGTGATGACTAACAACTAAGTCTAACATTATGCACAAAAAGGGAAAAAAATTATAGATTGTGTGTAATAATTAAATATACTAAGCTAAAAGTGCTTAATGCTTGAAATAGATGCAAGCAACATTTTCAATATCTACATAAATCATTACACCACGACAATAATTTTAGTATGATAAAAAGACATTTTTCCATCAGTCAGATGTGAAGACAAGAATAACAATAAGAAATGTATATACTCTAATATTAGAGAGTAATAAAATTTTATCAAAAACTACAATAAATTCTAAGCAAGTCATACCATGTTAACAACTTAGTGGCCTCTGGTTATTTAATGAGCTCGAAAGTGCCTGTTTAAAGCCAACTCTTCAACATAAAAGTTGTTTGAAGAGCACAATAATTCAAGAAGGTTGTTTGAAATCATTCCAATAAAATTAACTGTGACATATCCAAAACTGTAGCATTCTTTACAAAAGTCTTCAGGACATCCAATACTACTTCAACAATAAATGGAGTTGATCGCCACAAAATTCTATATTATTTAAGGATTCTTCCCATAGATTGAACTGTTTGCGATAGCTGGTAGATTATGTTCCAATCAAGGTGAGAGAGAGAGCGAGCGCCATAGGAACGGGCACTTTTGTAACCCGATAGGGAACTTTTGTAACCAAGGTAAGGAACTTTTGCAACCCAGGGCACTTTTGTAACAATAGGGCACTTTTGTAACAGTATAGGGCACTTTTGTAACAAACTGGCACTTTTGTAACTGTGACCATTTTTGCCACCTGGAACTGATTCTTTTGTTCCCGTTTTTTAAAGGGCCCTAGTCAGGCACACCTTTGTTTTTGTTTCCATGTGAGAGTTTGGCTATTATATTTTATTCGGAGCATGTCGAAATGAAGGAAATCACTGTGAAACTACTAAAGATAAATTAAAGATAATTTCAGGAACACAACTGACAGTAAAGCAGTAAGATTTTGCTTCACCGTGTAATATCAATAATTTCGATGGCATCGAAAATGGCGGAGGCTGACTAGGGTCGTTTAAGCCTGGTTTTACTAGCGACGCAAGCACAAGCGTAAGCACAAACGCAAGCAAAGGGGATGATCCAAGGGAAAACGAAATTCGGCGCAAACACAAATTAAATTTTAAGTAATTTTATTATTGCCTGTGCTGCTCAGCAATTTTTAAAAGAACAAGGTGCAATTTAGTTACTCTTGTTAACATAACTGGAACTAACATATTCCTTTATTTCATGGGAAATCAACTACAACAAAGTAAAGAGCTTATTGATGCTGATGCAATTTGGTTACTCTTGTTAACATAACTGGAACGAACATATTCCTTTATTTCATAGGGAATCAACTACAACAAAGTAAATAGCTTATTGATGCTGATGGGATGTGATAAACTTGCGGGCTTGTTTAGTTGCACATATTCTGCCCTCTGTTTAAAGAAAATACACGTAAATGGAAATCTTCATAGTCGAGCGTACTAGCTATCCGAGCTTACTGGATACTAGTAAAGTTGAAGTCTACAATCTTTGTAGCAATAAATGTGATTGCGCTTTCTCAAGTCAAATTGTTGGCAAGACATACCGTTAAAAGAGGAGTAATAAACGCAACGTACATGAAGTGCCATACATTTCCCCTAAAGGTATTCCCTTAAAGGTAACCCTTAAAGCCTCAGCTAGAAAAATGTATTTTTTGGCTTGTAAAGATGATATGATTTTTGGAAATATCGCGCCACCAATGTGTGTTAAGAATCAGCTAAAAGTTACCCTAAATGGAGTGTCGTCATATCACCCGAGTGCAATTTTTGCCATAAGAAAAAACATTTTCCAAACATTGCGTCACTCACGCAAACAAAAGAACAATTCGTACAGAAGCGGCTTTCTGGGTATGTCTCGACAACTGCAACGTTTTGCTAAAACAACAAACAATCTCACATACGCCTAAGTTAATGGGTCAGAATCATGAGCAATAGAGCTGTCAACTTCAGAAGTTATTGATGCCCCTTTGAGTTGATGTGGTTTGAAATAAAACCGCGCGCTAATTTATTTAAGGAAAAAAATCTCTGTTACAAAGCTAGAATGATTTCTTTTGCGCTTGGGTCCTAACTGCTTAATATTGGTTCATTGCGCTGTTCAAGTAAACTACCATTGGCTGTTGTAATTACCTCAGTTTTTTGCTGAAAAAGTATTGAAAAACATTCTATTACCTCTGTCTTTAATATTAACTCAACGAAACGTGTCTTTAACATTAGAGAGTTTAAGCATGACGGTTACGGCAGACGGCAAACGGCAAAGATTACCGCTGATTTTTTGTTCTTTTCTTCTAATCCTTAAATAAATCACACCCAAAAAAAATGAAAAATGTCTTTTACTATTCAGCGCAAATACAAATATTTTCACTCTACTGTACAGACAGCTGAAGACAGACGGCAAAAGTTTCATTTTTGCCGTTTGCCGTAAACGTCATGCTTAACCTTTCTATTAACTCAACCGAACGTGAACAAGATACACTAGTTGCAAATAACTTGCCATAGAAGAATTTTACAACAAATCGAGGTACAGTCAGCTAAGGAGAGGTGTAGTCCGCGGTAACCCCTAAATGCCTTCTTAATTGGGCCTATTCAGATTGTGCGTGGCAACTTTTTGCAACTTAGAAACAATTAATTTTGAAAACCTTTCAGATTTGGTACAAATGTATTTTTTACTTATTGCGATTATCTTTTATAAGTATCTTTTGGCCGGAACAAGTTTGCTGCAAATTACTAGCACAATCTGGACAGGCTTACCCTTAACTAAAAATGTTAAAACCACTCGCCTTTGCTTGTTAGCAGTGGTAGTAATGAATCGGTTAACTGATTTATGTGCTTCGTTTGATCTTATCGAGCTGCTGGTAGTGTAAACTGCACACGCGCTGATAGGGTAACTTCTGATAAATATCGCGGGCACTTGCTGTTTCTTTAAATCCATTTCATTAAATCCAGCTTTTTTTCGACGAGTTACGATTAAAGCTAACGTTGGAAGCATAACTATGCATTTCTTTTGTAAAATCATCCTTTTTTCGGAATATTTAGAAATGAAACAAAATCTATGCATAGCGTAATAAAGATTAAAGTTAAAATATTAAATCAAGAGGAAAAATCCGATAAAGTAATATGCTTGGGAACCTTTACATTTTTTCAGAATGAGTCACATGACCATGGGCGTGGCCTGATGATGTCATCACTGGTGTTACTGATCATGGAAAAATTAAAACACACGAAATAATTCTGAAATAACCAAAAATAAAAAAGATAAATTTTCCCTAGCAACGGCTTAAAAAGATCAGTTAATTGGCCCTTGACACGAGGGAAAAATAACACCTATAAACGTAACTTACTGCTTGCTCATCTTGGAAGCCCTATTTTGACGTCTTTCATATTTTAAGCGGTTGACAATTGTGTCCAATGAAACTTTCTTTAACATTTCCACGCCCCAGTCTTCCTTTTCGAGGATCATCTTAATTTGCGGCTTTGAAATCGGGTAAGATTTTTCTATCATGTTGCGAAATAGCTTTTGCAATCTGTCAAGCTCGGTTGCTGTAAAGACGTTTCTTACGCTACCTGACACACTGGTTGGAGGTATGATTTCACTGGCCGTCTCGCTCTCTGCTTGAAACGCCCTTTCAACACGTTGCTCTAGTGTTTCCACTTCAGATGGAAGGCATTGAGGTTCTGGAGGGGACTTACTGAAACGCCATTGAGCGCGTACTTTGTCCAAGACTCGTTTTGGGTCTTCTTCCCTTAGCTTCGGATGATCAGAAATTTTTGTTTTCACCGTAGCTAAAGTAATAGTTTTGTGCTCAATTTCATCCTTGAAAACTGTCTTGATAAGAGCTTCCTTGTCCTCGTTCCATGAACCTCTCGAGGTTTTGGGGACAACAGCCTCTGAAGCAGATGGGCTTGGGCTGACAGAAGTACTGTTTGGTCTGGATGGTCTGACTGTTCACGCATTATGCTGCGCAGCTGCTTGGAGGCTTGAACTGAGGACTTGCTCTTTTTCTGTAGACGGTAATATTTGTTTGCCGTCTGCAGATTGTGGGCCATCAGGTCTGCAAGATTTCCCCTGGCTTCATTGCTTTCGCTTGCTGTGTGTACTCGAGAAACGGCCGACTTTCTGAGGAGAGTTGAGCTAGGATTGCCATCCACTTGAGCCTTCTTCCAGACTGATATGATCGCTTTGTTTATTTGACTCGATACCATCGGTTCCCCATTCCACGTCAAAAAGACGTTTGAGTTAGGATTAGCAGTTGTGCCAGCAACCTTCGATCGTGCCTCCCTCACAAAAATGGCCATCCAACTGTACAATTTCGGGCTGAGTATTATTCGCGCTGGACCGTGTGTGGTGAAAGTCTTTTGATCACTTACATGAACAACGTATTCATCATCATGTTTCACGGCACTGTTCAGTTCTCCCATTTTCATGTTTGCAAGGGCTCCAGCCCTGTTGGCATTATCAATTGAAATCTGAAGCAACAAAAAATCTCTGGTAAGAGTGTAATTGGCTTGCGTCATGTCCAAGCAGTGAGCTCCTGACAGCTGGCCGAAGAGACAAATGGCATTTCTTGCAGCTTGGCTTCGTTCGAATTCGGCTATTTGCTTGGGAGTAATTTAAAAAGTGCTTACCACGGTTTAGGGAACTTTTGTAACCTCCTTGCCATAATAAAGCGTCTCAATCTCTTTGATTTTAAAGTTATTTGTTTAATGTTGGTGTGCAAGGGGTTCATTGTGAGAGGCTTCCACTGACAACATGTTGTGCTTTACCACGTAAAAATGGACAAATTATTGCAAAAGGAGGCAAAAGTTACAAAAGTGCCAAACGATACCTATGGAGAGAGAGAGAGAGAGAGAGAGAGAGAGAGAGAGAGAGAGAGAGAGAGAGAGAGAGCAGCTAATGCAATATGTAAATTATTACAGAAAAAAACAATCCTTACTGGACTAGAACTAAACTGCAGGAGTTGATTTTCAGGCATTATTGACAAATGATATGTGACATTCTCAAAACTTCATACACTGAAGCAATCTTTGAGACACCCCCCCCCCCCCCGTGTATTTATTAACATCACAAAAAAGAGAACAGACGCTTCTTTCAAAAGAACTAAAGAAGGGAATGCTGTCCCACAAGCTTAAAATACCTCCCATACCAGAATCGAAGCCTATTGCTACAGTGCTGGAAAAAAAAAATTTGCACAAACCTTTCGTTGCTTTGGAACAGGCCCACAGTAGATATTCTCCTTCTCGGTCGACTGAGGTTGGCGATCGAGCTTGTGTCGTACAGTCTGTAGTTCGGTCTTCGCCTCAGCCACTTCTTTACAAGCGTTTTCCAGTTTCACGCTCAAACTGTCTAGTTTGGCATTTTGCCGCTTTATTATACCCCCCAGTTCTTTGATTGTGTCGAACAACTGTCGAATTTCTCAATTTGAGAACATCAGGTTCTCTCGATTTCTAATGGAACCGTCTCCTTGAGGCTCTGGATAGGATGGAACTGCGCTTGATCGGGTGCCGGTTGATGAGCTTGAGCCGTATGTTCGTCGACTCAAAGTGGTATTAGTAATACCATTCCGGCCTAATGCTTTGTTGAGTGTCCCTTTTTCATGTTTTACAATGGCATGTACGCTTGCACGAGAGGTACTTTTATGTACTTTCTCACACGAGATGAAACAGAGAAATATCTGACGTGTTATACGTGCTGAGGTGAGAAAGGATCTTCCAGTAAACTGTCATCACCAGAGGTACTCTCATGGGCAGATGAATCTGGGACTCCCGCATAAAAATGACGGGGATGCTTTGTAATCATTGTCAGTACTCCAGGCCTGCTACGCAGGCTATACCCTTAGAGGTACCACGATTATTCTAATGGCGGTCATTTTAGATTTAGCGCCTAAAAGGTATCAATTTCCAACTTTTGAACCCTAAAAAGTACGACGAGCACTCTCGTCATTTCTATATGGGAGCCCCCCTCCCCTGGGCACAACGCGGCCAAGGATAAGAATCAAATAACTGAAACACAAGAAACGCCGTTTGCAATCGCGCGCTTCGCCCCTGCGTAGTGCTATTACAAATACCTGTGTCTCCTCCACCGTTGCGATCGACGATTTAGTTATAAGCCTTCTCTTCCAAACTGGTGCCCTATGAAAGTACTGATGGTTCTTTTTCAACTTTACTTTTTAGTTCCATTAGGACATCTTCAGCGCTTGGGCGAAGAAAAGCGTCGAAAGCTGTGCATTTGTGACACAGTTTGTCAAGCTGGCCCCACTCTTAATCGTCGCTGTTGCAAACGATTGAGGTTTGGATTTGTTGGCTCATTTGTCATCTCTTTAAGCAACTTTTCAAATTTGGAAGCTTTTTCAGGGCTTGAATTTAGTTCCATTTCATAGGGAAACTCGACGTCAGGATTGATTATTCTGAAAAACGTCATTCCCAGTGCCTAGATATCTATCGCCTTTAAGTCGTCCATTGTTGCGTATTCAATTTCCCTTCGAGTATTATCTCTGGAGCCATGTAGAGCTTTGTACCACGCTCAATGTTCATTGTCTTCGCATGAATGATGACGCTGTTTGGAGTAAAGTTGACCGTCTCTCACTGGAGTCAGTTAGTTTGCAAACTACTGGACAGTCGGCAAAGACACTTGGCAGTTGATCCGCACTGATATCTTTTTTACAGTGGTGCCTGTTGCTGACTAACACGTTTCTTGGTTTTAGGTCACGATGCACGATATCATTTGAGCGAAGAAAACAGAGACCTTTCGCGACGTCCTTTGCAGCCTTCGGAAAAACAGGCAAGAAATGCTCAAAGGCTTCAGTTTGGCCCTCGATGTGGCCAAGGGTGTTTAAAAACTTTAACAAATTGGACATTTGATGGTTGAGGCCGAAGGGACTGAAATCGAAGCACTCGTAATCCATCATGATTGCCACTGGCTTTGAACAAACGCCGATAAATTGCGTAATGTTTGGATGGCAAATGCTCTCAAGCATTTTTGCCTCCTTTGCAATGTTCTTTAAGAGAGAATTTCCCTCTCCAAAAAATCGCTTAACAACCACAACTTACCTTTACCTTTCATCACCGATCCAAAGCTTCCCTTACCAATCTCGTCCTTATCTTATACGTCACTCCTCGTAAAACTGGGCAGGCCCTCTAAGTAACCTTTTGAAAGTGATTTAAGCTGAAGAAGTGGGATTTTAAAGGCCATACGACCACGTGGAGATCAATGCGGACTTGTACTCACGTGTGAATATGCAAATTAAATTGAATCTACCCATAGCTTGTTATTAACTGTACTAGAAGAACTAATTTCGCAAGATTTGCACCATCTAGGTGTTGGCGGTAACACCTTTTCGAACTTGATCAAAAATATTTTTCCAGGCGCTTTCTGTCAGTTTAAAATATTCACAGCTAACTAGCCAAGGAAAGCAACAAAATTAGCGCGAGGTTAATATTCTGCTTACAGATAACAACAGCTTAATAAAGAATTGACTACTTAAGTGAGACAGAATTTTTTATGCATGTATATATTTTTATGTCTTTTTCTTTTATATATTTTCTACACTCCGCATTTTCCACACCTCCACAAGATCAAAGTCTAATGTACATGCAATAATTGTAGTTAAATTTCACGTGTCTATCAATCAACAAATTACTGTACAAACAAAACAAGTATCGGGTTTCAAAAGGTAACGAAATTGTTCTAGCGTGGGGTCTCCATGTTTCTGACAATATTCTTGCTAAGAGTTAGATGCAGATCCATATAAATTATTTACCTTCCTGTTAAGTGCCTTCTGTCTGGGTACTTTCGCATACCTCAGGATATCGTTATTTTCAAAGGTAGACTGCTGATATATGTAAAAAAAAAAAAAACAACCTAAACGAGTTTATTACTATACCTGATTTTCTTCGAATGAGGTCTCATTCTAAGAGCTACGGCAGGTAACAGTCAATTAATTGAACTCTTGATTTATTGTGATGCGTCAACGTTCAAACACATGAGTAGATAAAGAAGTACTTGGACAGTACTAATGCAAGTCTTCACATGTGCTCTCTGTGAATTCTCTGTTTATACCTCTCGTAAGCCGTGTATTTTTAATCCCGCGCTAGACCTGCTATGAACTTGTACACATGCACCACCCAAGACACATTAGGCTCATGTGTGCAAGGAAGGTCTTCATCCCCTCTATAAGTTCTACCTCTACAAGCAACAACAAGTGCCTTCACCTGCTCACACTTTGCAGCAACTATCTACAACTGCCTTTCCTTTTCAAAAGTCAGTTTCCTTTGTTTGAGACGTGGAACCCTGGTGTCCAAAATTGCAATGTAGACAATTTGCATGTTTTTCAATTCAAGATTTTCATGCGATTCATCTAAACAGAGCAATGACATGTGTGTTCATTCTTGGCGATCCTGTAGCCAGATAGACGGGTTTCAAAGCCAGGATAATGTGTAAGGTGTTACTTTTTGTGTATTGAATTGATTTGATCTTTTTAGCTTGGCCTAAACACGGTACGACGAAAGTCAAAATAATGTTTGAAAATTGTATGATTTCCCCTTTATTTTGTTGTGGCAAAAGCCTTTTTTTTTTAGTTCATCGTGTGTTCCCCCAGTATCATCACGGATCTTCTTTAGCTCTGCACGAATCTCATTTTCACCGAGCTCTTCCTAAAATGCATCTTTTTTTGGAGGTCTTTCTGTTGTCTTGGAAGGGAATTTTTCTTGCTTGCAAGAGGCATTTCTACCCGGGACTACTTGTCTCTTAGATACCCTTAAATGTGGCATGTCAGAATCTTACTAATGACTAATGATAGCAAAAAGTTCATGACGGTTCCTTGGCATGAACTCTCTTTAATAAGAAAGATAAAGGGCTGGGTGTTCTACTCAACAAGACCAGGTGAAGGCTTCTTTTGAAGACCACTTTCGGGGAACATATCTGGGTCATTTTTGAAAGTTTTCTTTGCATTTTACATGTTAAGGGGCATATCTTGCTTCTCCGATGCTTTATAATTTCCTTTTTGTGACCCTAGGTTCCTGATGAAAGTGTCTTTTGACATTTTCATTAACTTCAGTCAGGGTTCTCTTCTCAGCCCTTCTGCAAAACTTACTTAAAGGGAAGGTACATTGTATTAGAGACTCGAATAAAAGACATGCATTGCAGCTTGTCAGCGAGTGATCTTTCTTCCCTTCTTTACTTGTTACTTTGTCCTCTTTCCAGTTCTTTGAAGGAAATGCTGTTAGGTATGCTTCTTTCTCTGCTTTGCTTCTCCAGGTTAAAAATTTTTAATCGATGGTTTTGTTTTGCCGGATAAAGTTCACTCGTTTCATGAGTAGCTCAAGGTATTCTTGAAAATGTTCATTGAAGTCATTAGTGGGAAGTCACGAATTTTAGGCTCCAGGGCCGGGTTGTTCAAAGCTGGGTTAAGATAACCCAGGATTAGTATGAATTTTTATTTCAGATCTGAAAGCTTTAAATGTCTAAAAAGAATTAGGAAAATTATCCCAAAACGGCTTTTGAACAGAGAAATATAGAAAGCTGGATTACAATTAAATCCTGGGTTAGTGTGAATCGCCTTCGAACAACAGGGCCCTGCAGGAGAGAGAAGACTGTAGTCTCCCTACTAAATTTTGAACAGTTCCAAGTACTATTTTTTAATGACGCAGACTTTTAGTTATTATATATAAAGAGCACATAGCAGTTCACTGGTGTTCACAAGGAACCCTTTTGTTGAGAAAAAAGCCTTTACACTAAAAGCTATGGTTAGTTTTATTGCCACTTTCTTGTTATATATTAAAATTGAAATAAGCTGCAGATTGGGAGATTTGCTGCTGCACTGCCTAATCTGTTGTTTAAACTACAGCTACTTGGACAGCTAATTTCACACGACGTTGTACATGCACGTTTTTTTACTGCTCATCTATAATTGGCAACATCTCTTACGGAGATCTATTTGTCATCTTACTTGTATGAGTTAGCTGCTCCCTTGACAATCTCGCTCAAAGCTGATCCTGCTGTTTTCATCGAATGACCTTTTCCAGTGCCTTAGGACTTCTTTACTTTTCTAACTCTTCTCTGTAACTTGTTCAGACTTTGCATTTTACCTTACAAGAACAGAAAACCATATCTGATAATTCCTTTAATACAGACTGACACAAAAAAAAAGCTACACAATCGCAAGAATTATCTATCACCTTCGAGCGAGGAAAAATCGATGCCAGGAACCTCATCTTTCAACAAATTGAGGATTTTTCCATACTCAGTCTTCTTTTTGTCTCTATCTTTATATCTGTTTGACTCTATGCTCCAAAAGCTTTCTCGTAACCATAATTTCTGTAAATGGAGGGATGTAGCAAAATTAGTACAGCGAATACTTTTTGCGGCCTTGTTTTTTGCCAAAATGAGACCTTTGGACGCCCACAATTTATTTTTAAGTTGTCTTTGTTGACCCACACACATTGGCAAGTTACGCCACTTGTCAAGCTTTTCCTCGACAAATTTCCTTTTTTTAAACTAGCATGAACAAGGACTCGGACTTTTCTGAGAAATACGACACCCCAATAACCTTAAGATTAAAATTAAGTGAGTTTAAAAAGTTTTCGAAACAATTAAAATGCATTACCTGATAACTGAGACACTTGCGGGCATGTCAAACTTCGGTGAAATAATGGTCAAGAAGCTATCTTCTAGAGACATCTTCATGCAATTAGTAGCCGTCCTGCACAAGTTGTATTATGTCGAGGGCCCTTGATTTAGCATTCAGCGGAGCACAATAATGAAAATGCGAAACTGACTCTACAGAGTTTCATGCCCCGGTCCTCACCGTTCTATTCAATTTTTAGAGAAGGGTACTTTTTTTATTTTTGTTAGCTGTAATTTCTAAATTATTCTGGTAGGATTTCGCCTGAAAATGTGCCCATTTCAACGCTCCCGACTGAGGTCATCGTGGTAAAATTAATAACTATGTTTTTACTCTATGTCTTTTGATGCGTATATGAATGGAAATATTACATATCATGCGGAGTTATTGAGAAGCCAAAACAGCGTCGGTTTTCTGCTTAAAACTGATTCAAAGGAAGAGTAAGGTGATGATAATGCAAATTGATTAAACACTCTTCAAACCTAGGATTAACGAAGGGTTAAACTTAAACTCAAATTATGTGAGAAATGTCATGTATCTTTTCATTGAACCGATAGGAACCTATAGTTTTTAGACGTGATACTCTGCATAATAGGCAGAGTCTTGTGGCGATTATATTGAAGGAAAGCAATTTATTCAGCGAACAAGTACTAAAGCGGCTATGTAATTTAAATCTTAAATTATTTGTTCTTTAAAACACGAGAGGAGCACGTCAGCAATTATTGCCGTTCATAATATATTTCATCTCGTCATTTTATCCTAGTTATGGTTTTGGGTCATATCCTTTGTTATCGCTTTTGATTTACCAAGATAGTCTGCGTTCAGGAGGCAAGTTTAAACAATCTCATCGCAGAAGGGAAACGCACTTTTATTTTAGAATTCCCAAATTTCAGCTGTCAAGTTAGCAGCTGCAAATTCGAGTTCGCTAAAGTCTCTATAAATACAATAAAAATCCTATCAATCAAGTTGACACATGCAACTTCAAAATGATTTCCTCGGGTCATTTCCACGTTTCATTTGCATGTGCAATGTAGTTTCGTAGAGCTATCTCAAAACATTTCAAATGCAGTTTACATCATTTCCCTTTTTCATTGTTGAATTTGTATCTCCACATGCAGTCGGATTTTAGATGTAACCTTTATGAATGGGAGCCGTGAATATTAATTGGACATGGTATAAAGAGTATTCGTTATTGTCCCAAACGCTTTGAAAGATAGATAAATTCAGGTGGCTTTTATTCGCAGTTGAACTTTCGTCAAGCAGGTACTAGAAAACGTACGTTTTAGTGTAACGTTTTTGTTAGGCTTCGTTCACAAAGGGTTAACAAGTTTTCGTTCGTCGTTCATCAGAAGCAT